CGAGCCGTATGTTGTAAGTTCATTATTAACCTAAGTCACACTTTCTTAAATTATGCCCAAACGTTTCAGTAGGCCTGTTTATTATGGTTTGAAGCAATCAATTGTTTGCATAAGTTATTTTCTTAAGTTATCGGAGTAGCTCATTATCTGAGAAATAAGACAATCTCATCATTTAAAGTTATTATGGTTGATTAAAAGTGGACTTAAGCATTATAGTTAAAGAATGAACATAAAATACTTGAGAATTTCATTTCATTGATGACAATTTATCAGTACAAGTTGAGAATCATGGCCATTACAAAGTATGAAAATAAAAGAAGTACACTATGCAGCAGGAAGCTGAGGCTCCGATGCCTCTACAAGAGATGCTTCGATTGCAGCTTGAGTTGAAGTTTCTTCCATAAGAGTTATCTTGGTCTGCTTCTCCTTTAGCTGTCTCTTCAGCTGGGGTATGAGGCATTTCCTCTAAATATTCTGTCGTCAGCTTGACTGTGTTCAGTTCTGGAAAAAAGGTTCTTCCACCCACTATACCATTTTAGCATAAGCAAACCTTCTCCAGTAAGTGGTGAAGCTCTGATACTCCACCATGAGATGGAAGTTGGTGATATAATTCTTCACTACGTCATCTTTCACCAGTGGAAGCTTAGCCTCCAACCTCCAAGAGCTGCACATAATGCTTCATGTGAGTTTCCAAATTTGATTGGCGTCCCTGGCCTTCAAGAGCTACAAGTTGGCCTTCTTCGAGGCTTCAATCGTAAGCATCTGATGATTGTTTGAGGTTTCAACCTTCTTTGTTTGAGAGACGACCTTGTACTGGGACTTATGAACTTTCCTCTTCAGAGCTTCAATTTTTGCCAAGGCAAAATCCAACTTGGCAGCATCCTTAGTTTTCTGGGCTTTCATCGCTTTAGTTTTGACCCTCAATTTCTTTGTTTCTTCTTCGGTAGCCTCCATATTGTCTACTGAGGCCTTATTCCTTGTTTAACTGTCAGTTAGAGCTACCTGGCATTCAAGGGCTACCCTAAAGACCCTGGCTCTTTGGCTTACGAGCACCACAGTTAGGTCTACCGCATAACAAGTAGACACATACAACTGCCACATATCGATCTAGAACTTATAAAAGCTAGCAATGGTAGCACAAACCTTTGGTGGCAGTATCTCCAACACGGCAGGGACTATCACTTCGTCCTGTCCCGCCAAAAATCTTCCAGACTTCCTCAGAGTACTCGTAAATGGAACCTTCTCTATGGCCTCTGAGGATGCTCCTCCTCCTTCCTAGCCTCATCATTGGCTCTATGCACTGCCTCTCCCTTGGCTGCCTTCATAGAGGCCTTTATAAGCATGAAAATAAGGGGGCTACTATCTTGGAGGAACGAGCCACGATGGTGCCAAACTTTTCAGAGCTGTAGTTGCTGTAGGACAGTTTTTTTTCTTCTGGGGCTCCTCCGTTATCTCCTTTTCCCTGTCTTTCTTACCTCTATCTGTCTTACAAGGCACCTCCTCAGCACCCTTCTTCGAGCATTCCTTACTGAGGCGTTCCAACTTGTCCCTGACATGCCTTGTCCCCAGAGGACGGCTTCAGGGCTTTCGTACCTATTGTGGAAGTGGCCTTCAAGATCGAGGCCATATCTAGGACAAGGTACTTCTTCTTCTCAAAGTTATCTGCTAGTATAAAATATACCAAGGTCAGATACTATCAAAATGATAAGCAACACTAACATATGAGGTTTAGTGCTTACCCCTGGATGCCATCAAACCAAAGTTAATGAAGTATCGACTGCAATCAATTAGGTGTTCAAAGTGTCTTAAATTCAGAGGACATTTATAAATGTCATCGATCACATCCCACTCTACTTCGTAAAGCTCAAAGCATGACCTCGAGTCTACAAAAGAGTGATGAAATCTCAGTTCAAGTTAAGAAAGAGGAAAAACCAAGGCATAACTAAAGACACTCACGGGCTTCGAAGTATTGGGTCAGTACAGTGCAAGCTGGGACTGTGTCTTCCTTAACCATTTGTCACCTCCCCTTTACCAAGAAGCAAGATTCCTTCCATCCCTTAATTGAGGAGAGAAGGCCCACAACGAAGTGAACATGAGCTCCCCAGGGGGTCAAGTAATACCATCCCTTCGGCTTGTCTTTCCCACCTCGCTAAGGAAACTTCTTTCCAAAGGAAGTATGCCCTAACAAGCTAGCTACACCCATTTGGCAGAAGTTGTATGGGAGCCAACATGAATCACTGCCTTGAAGAATGGGTGCAATGGCAGAAGCATTCCTGCTTTAAATAGGAATTCACTAACAGTTACACAACTTGACCTGGATAACAGGCACGTTGGTGGGCCTCGGGACAAAAAGTTCTATGTAATGAAAGATGGAGTATTTTTTTCAAAGTTGGTGAGTTTGGTGGAGGTCATTGTAGAACGAACGTGAAAAGCTCCCAAATCCTCCTCGTAATCTATTGGCCCCTCATTCATGGCCCAATAACCCGTCTCCGAATCTCCGGGTGCCCTTTCTTCACTGAACCTAGCGACTGTAACTTTAACACTAGTACTAGACTCGAAATTCATTGAAGATAATGAAAATGAAGGTTACGAACGATAAATCTGACAGAAAAATACCTAGATGAAAATGAGAACTAGGAACAAAGTCGTCAAAGGACAAAAGATCCTGAAAATAATTGAAAGCAAAGAGAACACGAAAAAATAGGAGATTTTTGCAAAGTAAAGTAGCAAAATGACATTTTTTGCCTTTTACTAAACGGGAGACAAGCCCCGACCATTGGATCAAAACCAATCTGATCGTAAGCTTCCAATTCTAAGCTAAATCTGAGGCATTGAATTTGAACAAAATTTTAAACGGACGCCTCAGATTGATGCATAAATCTCACGTGCAGTCCCAACACGCCTGCTACAAATTACAAAGATATCATTATTGCATGTTTAATATAATTGCCATACGCACACGAGAAGTTATGACGCCTCCGTTGCTTTCTCTTGGTAATGAACAAAGACATCAAATCATTGGCAGCACTTTTGAGGGCAATCATTACAACTAAAGCAAGCCTCGACGGTCCAGCTCTCTCTACCTCGGCTTCAAATAAATTTCAACTACTTCACAACTAAGTGAGCTTAGACATTTCAGCTCTTTATTCCTCGGCTCGAAATAAATTTCAGCTATATCACAAGTAAAGGAGCATTGATAGTTCAGCCTTTGTTCTCTCTCAGCTCCAAAAAATTAATCTCAGTAATAACAAAACCTAATGAGCTTTGGCGGTTTATGAATCATCTGCCTCGAGTCAAGAGCAATATTAGGTGCACCAGAAACATTCCAGATTGCAACTTTCAGCTTGAATCATGATCTTAATATCTATGCATGGACTTGGGAAACTATTGTGTGTGCTAACGAATTTTCATTTTATTCACAAAACAAATTAATGCAAGGCTTATTATTGAAGTCCAAAAATGATATAAAAAACCATGCATAAACTTTAGGGACTATTATTACACCTTGCCATACGTGACTCTACATCACCACACCCGGTCCTTCCTATCCATGTGGTCGACAACCGAGACTCTTTGTAAAGTAGCCAATCTACTCAAAGTATTGGAACCACCTCAGCGAAGCTCCACATACGATTGATGAGGCCAGAAGGAATGGTCCACGGCCCGTGTCTTCCGCTGAGGTTGAAGCTCTGAGGCGAGAGCCTCAAAGGAGTCCGAAACCCCTACACCTAGTGATGACCTGTACAAGGAAGATTTTAGACTTATGTATGAAATCTTTTAGGAACGATTGATGGGATATTTGTAATGAATGTAAATGTCGAGTCTTGTCAACAAAGTGACGAATCTGTGAAAACATTGAGTGCATTGCAAGCTAGCGGGTCAAAATTGATGCCTATGACTAAATATTTGAATTAAGGAGATGAGGCCACGTGTATTTCCATCCAAGGGTCACCATTTTATTTGTAATGCTCTAAATGCCCTCTATGTAACATGAAAAAAAATAAAAATAATGCAACTCTTGACACCAAAATCTACTCTTTGTTTTCTCTTTTACTAATGGTAAATTTACTAAACTACAAGTTTATGTTACTTAGCTTGAACTAAGTTTTTTGAGCTTGGTGATCACTATACAATCGTTTCATGAATCTACCATCGGAACCCAAACACATTTGTTTCGCGTATTTGAGTTTCTCCTACATCCACATTTTTAGATTATTAACAACTAACAACCCATCTTCACGTGTGGAAATTAACTAACGTGTACGCGAGTGGGCCCGACATTTGTTTTCCACGAAAATCGAGGTTAACAATTATTGTTCAACTCGAAAGTGTAATTTTGACTTTTTGGTAGAGTAAATCGAGATTAATTGGGGTGTCAATTTGGGTCACGGGCTCAAATGACCCATAGCTTGGCTAGAAAAAAGCCCAAGCCAACCCACGTGGCTCAACAAGCCACACATGCCATTTTAGGTAGTAAAAAGTTGAGCCTAAATAAATAAATAAAATCTACAAAATTTTAAAAAAGAAAAAAATTGCCTTGTTAAGGCAAACCTATTAAGACAGCCAACTACACGTAGCCGCCTTATAGGTAGCGACAACTGAAAAAGATGGGAGTCGGCTCAACTTGGTTCGTTGAGCTCCGAGTCGAGCCCAAATTTTTTTCGAACCACTTTTATTCAAACTGAGTCAACGAGTCGGGCCTAAATATTTTCCGAACCACTTTTATACAAACTAAGCTTGAGCTTTGAATTTCAATTCGGTTCGACTTTTTGACATCCATAGGATTAATAGATGCTTCTTAATTGGACAAGGGAGACCCAATTAGAAAGATCTATTGGAGCTTAGATTTTGTGAGTTTGGTTAAGTCCCTCTCTTGGCTCTAATATAGGTAAGAGACTTAATTGGCCCACTAAAATAAAGTCCAAGAAAATTGTGCAAATATGAAATCCTAATTGAGTATTATAAATATATCCTTTGTGGGTATATTTCTTAATGCTAGGGTTAGCCACATTCTCTCATTTTTCTCAAAAGGGGAGGCAGTTAAAGGTGGAAAACAAGAGGAAAGACCTAAGGGAGGAAGATTTGGCTAGAAAGGTGGAGAGACACTTAGAACTCCTTCATGGTTAGTTATTATCTTACCTTATGTGTGAGGATTTAAAAACAAAATCCAATGACCTCAAGTTAATCTAAAATCTATTATCCATTGAATTTAATATTCAAAGAAAAAAAAAATTTCCTCTTCTGATTAAATCTAAAAACCAACATCTTGCAATGACATAGTTTAATTGGTTTGGTTTAATTGTTTATTTAATGAAAAAATCTCAGAAATCCTCTATATCTGAGAAAATGATGGAAATTTTTGCTCCAAAAATAATTATCTCAAAAGGTTCTTTATTGAATATTTTCTTTTAAAATTGTTATATTATCTTAACTTGTTCTCCTGGCAAAATCTGTAATTTAAGTTTTCATTTAGGAAAAAAATTAGCTGGGAGGCATCATTTTTGCACATACATTCGGGGTTTCTGCAATTCTTGATACTGAAGCTTCAAAACTCAAAAGCATTTCATATCAGGGTATCTAGAAAATTACTGTATTGTTGTCCACTTTCCCTGAATTAGTCGGACATCCGGTCAAATAAACTCTTGATTTAAATAAAGGACAAAAATCGACCCAAGTAGCCAAATTGATTGCTCTGATCAGTCACCTTCATTAGGATTAGGATCCTCACCTCTTATTGGACCATTGTTTGGCCATTTTTTCGGTTTTCTTGTAGCTCATGTGTACATCATCGTAGGATAACATGGTACATGTTAAGTATTCTCAGAACAATTCAAAGTCCAACATATGTATGAACTTTTGCTAACAAGACTAATTGCATTTATTAATTCAATTACCAGGCCATCATGTGGGCTGTGGCTGATATCATCTTGCAATTATTATCACCGTCCAGCAAAAATATATGCTGGTGGCATTGCTGTAGAATGCCAATATGCTCTTATTTTTGCTGAACAAAATTCAAAATACAATGGAGTGAATTGCAATTGTAAAACTTTGAGAGCTCTCTCATCTCTTTGCTTTCAAGAGCTTTGTTCTTTGTAGCTTAGATAATTATTTTCTAGCTCGATGATAGAATTGTTAGCATTTCCAATTCGCCTAAAATAGTGACGAGGTGCAAGTCAACTACTTTCAACCGTTGTTTTTTGGAAGACACATGCCATTAGTCCTCTTGTACCATAGTGTGGGCAAATTTGTTTTAAGAAAATTGTGTGAACACATGCCTAGGATCCTTTCAACATCGCTACTACATCAACAACCAGATTTCCTCTCTTTTATTGTTGCTCTATTTATTATAACGTTTCTTACTATTATTTTATAATTCCAGCGTATTCCCAATTTCCTTTTATATTTTCCTGACATTTTAAAATAGATTCATCTCAAAGGATGAAAGAGGTGCTGAATTTGAAAGAAATATTATTGTGAAAAATAATATTCTTTCACAAAATTTATAAAACCTTGGAAACTGGAAATTACAACTTATGAATTGAATATTTTCAAATGAAACTAGACTTGTTGAGGCTTGACTTAGACCTTTCTAATATTGTCTGGAAATTATCTGTAGATTGCTATTCAATTGTTAGAATATAGCATAATTTTCATCATCTTTGAAAAATAAGCATATTTTCATTTGGAAAATTAGCATACTTTTGTGATTGAGAAAATAATAACAGGTTCAACCTTGGAACTAAAGGGAGGATCTCGAAGAAGAAGAAATTTCAAGGAAAGTGCTTCAATTGTGATAAGATGGGTCACAAATCAAATGATTGTAGGTTGCTTAAGAAAAACAAAAACAAAGAAGCAAATATAGGTCAATTACATTGACCATGATGCTTTTGATATTAGCCTATCAGATGTGATTTTTGAAGTGAATCTAGTCGGGTCCAACTCAAGAGAATGTTGGATTGACACTGGTGCAACCTAACATGTATGCTCTGACAAAGGGTTATGCATTTGATGAGATCGAAAATCGAGAGAAGCTTTTCATACGAAATTTTGCTACTTCTAAGATCAAGGGCTAAGGCAAAATAGTCCTGAAGATAACTTCTGGGAAAGAGCTGAATCTAAACAACATGTTTAATGTGCCAAAAAAAAAAGAAAAAAAAAAAACCCTAATCTCTGTTCGCTACTTAGCAAGCGTGGTTTTTACATGGTTTTTGAGTCTGATAAAATTATGTTGTCAAAGAGTGGACTTTCTATTAGTAAAGGGTATGTATCTGATGAGCTGTTCAAGCTCAATGTAAGGATTGTCCAAAAATATATCAATGAGTCTAGTTCTTGTGCTTATTTGCTTAAGTCCTCCAATTTATAGTATGGTAGATTAGAACATGTAAATATGATACCTTGAGAAGCTTAATTAACTTAAATCACATACCTGCATCCCAAATGATTCAAAACAAAAGTGTGAAACTTGTATAGAGGAAAAGTTGACAAGGCCATCTTTTAAAAGTGTTGAAAGAAACACTGAACCCCTTAATTTAATTCACAATAATAAATGTGATTTAAAAATGATAAAAACAAGAAGAGGTAACAACTATTTTATTACTTTTCTTAATGATAGCACAAAATATTAGTATGTGTATTGTTTAGAAGCAAGGACGAAGTTGTACAGAAATTTGTTTTTTTATAAAAGATATGTTGAGAATCAACTCAACAAGAAAATTAAGGTGCGAAAAAGTGACAGATGTGCTGAGTATGAATCACCATTTGGTGAGTTCTGTGTTCAAAATGGTATACTCCATGAAATCACGGCACCTTATTCCCCTCAATCAAATAGTATCGCTGAGTGAAAGAATCATACCTTGATAGAAATGATGAGTGCATTGTTATTAAGTTTTGGATTGTCTCAAAACATGTGGGGAGAAGTTGTCTTGACATCAAATTATATTTTAAATAAAGTACCCCAAAAAATGGAAGGCAATACTCCATATGAAATATGGAAAAGAAGGAAACCTTTTCTTGTTTATGAGTCTAAAATTTTAGACAAACATAAAAACGAGAAGATGGAATCAAGAAATGCATCGTTCGTTCGACATGTATTTTCTTGTAAGTCCAAAGAAAGACCAAGTTCGTCAAAATAAACATTTGAGACTATTAGTGAAATAGTTAAAACCATGAAAATGAAGAGGTTCAAGATAAACCTAGACATAGTAAAAGAGTAAGGACAAAAACTTTTTGGTCCAAATTTTTTGACATATCTGCTAGAAAGTGAACTACGAACTTTTGAAAAAGTGGTTAGCTCTATCAAAGGACCTTCGTGGAAAGAGGCCATTAAGTGCGAAATTGATTCCATACTACAAAATCACACATGGAAGTTAGTAGATCTTCCCCCTGGGTGTAAAACTCTAGGATCCAAGTGGATTTTCAAGAGGAAAATAAAAGTAGATAGATCAATTAATAAATACGAGACAAGGTGGGGTGAGGCTTGTAATTAAATATTATAGAGAACGAGAAAGTCTAGACTACTTTGATACATATTCTCCTATGACAAGAATAAATTCCACAAGGATGGTATTAGCAATTGTTGTCATGCGCAGTCTTGAAATATATCAAATGGATGTGAAAATAGCCATTCTAAATGGAGATTTAGATGGAGAAATCTATAGGGAACAATCTGAGAGTTTTACTATACCTGGAAAAGAAAAGGAAGTCTATAAACTGGTGAAATCTTTGTATAGGTTAAAATAACTACCAAAACAATGGCATAAAAATTCAACAATGCTGTAATAGCAAGTGGATTTAAAATTAATGAATGCGATAAATGTGTCTATATCAAAGACATTGAAAGTGAATATGTTATTGACATACTCATTGTTGGTAGTAATGATAGGATGATCAAATCTAATAAAGATATGTTGAATTTAAGATGTAACATTAAAGATATGGGACTAGCCGATTTTATCTTAGGAATAAAGACATCTAAAACATCAAATGAGCTTGTTTCAAATCAATCACATTATGTTGAAATTATTCTTGAAAAATTCAATAAAGATGACACTGGTGTTGCTAGAATGCCAATAGATATAAGTGTATATCTATCCAAGAATAAAATGAGAGTGTTTCTCAAATAGAGTACTCTAAAGTGATTGGTAGTCTAATGTACTAAATGAGTTGTACAAAACCTAACATAGCCTATACATTGAGTAAGTTAAGTAGATATACGAGTAATCCTGGAGCTGACCAACCATTGATAGATAATTGTAGGAGTGCAAAGGTACCTATGAGATACTCATAAGTCTGGATTTCATTATACGAGATATCCAACTGTCCTAGAAGGATACAATGATGTAAACTGGATGTCTGATATGAAAGATTTAAGATCTACTAGTAGATATGTGTTCATACTAAAATGTGCAGTTGTATTTTGGAAATCCTCGAAACATGCTGTTATAGCAAAATTTACAATGAAATCTAAATTTATCAAACTAGATAAATGTGTGGAAGAAGCAAAATGGCTATGCCATTTCTTAGAGAATATTTTAACATGGTCAAACTCTATACCTGCAATATATATACACAGTGACAGTCATTCTGCATTTAGCAGGGCACAGAGCAACATATATAATGGTAAGTCAAGATATATTCATCGAAGACATAATATCATTAGACAGCTAATCTCTACTGAAATTATCTCTATTGACTATTTAAGGTCAATGAATAATATTACAATTCCGCTTATCTAAAGGTTAAATTAAGAGTTAGTTGAGAAATCATCAAGGGAAATGTGACTAAAGCCCATGAAAGAATATATCGATATAAAGGAAACACAACCTAATTGATTAGAGATCCCAAGATCTAGGTTTAAATGAACAATCTAATTGTAAAGATCATGTCGGATCACTATGAAAATTCATCATAGTCTATATGTTGAAAAAGGTGATACTCTTAAGGAATATATGATAAGCTAATCTTTTAATGATCCTTATGTTTCAAAATATTCAATCGGAGTAATATGATTTACTATTAATTAAGAGATCACCTATGTAAGAAACTCATGGGCCGCTTCAAAGGGGAATTAGAAGGGCTTAATTCCTTAGAAATCTTCATAGAATTAGGGAGATAATCATGATCAAATTGAACAGAACTATGATAACTGAGTTGTGTTTAGAAGAAGCTTGTGTAGAGTGTATCATTGTTTACACAAATGGCAGAATAGTTTAAGGACATTATATCTACTAATTAGCACGTAAAGTAAACATACTTACACAAGTGAAGGTTCAAAGGGTAACACCTACCTATCCCATGCAGGTTTCAACCCGTTGAATTCCATTAACATGTCTGTTTGTCATTGTTGATAATTTCATTCATGTGGGAAAGTGTTGAAAAAAATTCAAATTACAATAGATTGTGTACAATAGTAAGAATAATAAATTTTTCTCTCTTTTATTGTTACTTTGTTAATTGTAATGTTTCTTTCCATTATTTTATAATTTCAACGTATTCCTAGTTTCTTTTTTTATTTTCCTAACAATTTTTATACGGCAGAGGATGAGATCAGAGAAACTAGATGACGGAGTTCATGCCCCTCTGCTACCTGAGGTTGAACAGGTTGAAGATAAAACATCCGATGAAGGCAGATCAATTTCTGGTGCTATATTCAACATCTTGACTGGCATGGTCGGTGCTGGAATTATGTCGATTCCAGCAACTTTCAAGGTCCTAGGTGTAATCCCGAGCTTTATACTGATCTTAATCATTGCTTTCTTCGTGGACGTCACAGTGGAGTTCCTGTTGAAATATACTCAGTCAGGCAAGTCTAATACTTATGGTGAGTTGATGGCAGAGTCATTTGGGAAGTTTGGATCTATTGCACTTCAAGTTTGTGTTATGATCACCAATTTCGGTGCTTTGATCATCTATTTGATTATCATTGGTAAGAAGCAATTGATTTACATTTATTAGTACCTGGTATAAATTGAATGGATGCAACCTGTTGATATGTCACCTATTTTATCTGTTGTATTCATGTGATCACAATTTGATGATAATTTACAGGAGATGTCCTCTCCGGAAGCCAAGCTCAGGGATCATTGCACTTGGGCATTTTACAGGAATGGTTTGGCGTCCACTGGTGGAACTCACGTGCATCCTCTCTCCTTTTCATTGTACTCTTTGTCTTGCTTCCGTTGCTGCATTTTCGGCGAATAGGTTAGTAATAGTAATTGGCCCTTTACAAAGAATGTACAATCTTGTGGTCTTCTTCTAACTCCTTTATTCATATTTTTCATTTATGTTGCTCAGATTATAAGTTTACTGTCGCACTTGGATTTACATTAATTCTTTAAGAGATCTTGTTTTAAATTTTATTAATAATTATTTTAACCTTGGCAATGATGATTTTGATCAGATTTTAGACAACCAGTTATGAAAGGAAATAAGATATTATATTTAATGACCCAATTTGTGTGCTCGAGTCATAAACTTACGTACTGTCCGTTTTGGGAAAGCCTGAATTAGTACTTGAATTCAACTTAAGTCTCTCTTAATGTGAGATCATGTGTTCGAATCTTGGGGACGCAATAGAAGTCCATGAGGAATAAGATGAGTTCAGGTTCTCCTAAAGCTAATAGTACGTAAGTTAACAACTTGGGCATAGAGTCTGGATTGTTACATTATACAAAGATAAATAAATACATACCATTTTGTACATGAAAAACAGGAGCAGATTTTCTTAAAATCAATGGGCATGAATGACTAACTCTTTTATAGCTTGTTATCTGCAGATTCCTTAAGGCATGCCTCAGCTTTATCCATTCTACTAGCGGTATTTTTTGTTGCCATATGCTCAGTGATGGCAATATATGCAATATGGGTCGGGAAAACCCAAAGACCAAGGCTCGGACCAGACTTTGCAAGTGGTGTCTCATTTATTCACCTCTTTACTGCCATTCCAATCTTTGCAACAGCCTTCGGATGCCATGTAACTAGTAAGATTATAGGTTTTTATACAGATAAGTTAATGGCCCTTTCTCCATTCGGTTTCCTTTAATGTGAATTTCAGGTTGAAGAACTCATAACTAAAAAATGGACACAGATTTTATTATTTCTTTAAACTACTTGACTCGTCTCTCGACTATAAATCAATGTATGCAGTTCATCCAGTCAGAGCAGAGCTTAGTAGACCTTCTGATATGAGGTCAGCAGTCCGGATCTCTCTGGTGCTGTGTGTCGTAATTTACTTTGCTGTTAGCTTCTTTGGGTACTTGCTGTTTGGGGAATCAATCATGGCCGACATGCTTGTGAACTTCGATAAAATTTCGGATTCCCTTGTTGGTAGAATTCTCAACAATGCAGTTAGGATAAGTTATGCAATTCATCTCATGCTGGTTTTTCCCGTGATGAACTACTCATTAAGGGTTAATGTAGACGAATTGCTCTTTCCTAATACACCTGGAGGAAGTGTGAGATTTTTATCTCTTACATGTATTCTACTTGGATTCATTTATTTGGCAGCAATAGCTATTCCAAATATATGGTATTACTTCCAGTTTAATGGGACGACGACTGTCATGTGCATCATGTTTATATTCCCGAGCTCGATCATTCTTAGGTACGCAACACAATTGTTTGGTTGTGCTTAATAGTTACTTTTCATGAAAGTAAATTAACATGTTTGGTTGTGCTTAAAAGCAGGTGAAACTTTCTTTTGAAGTTACTTTAATTTGTCAAATTTAATAACTCATTCAATTATGTTACCTTCAAAGTAAAATGGAACAGAGAGGAGCGACGAAGATTACGAGCTTGCTTCGATGTGTTTAATAGTTACTTTTCACAGAAGTAAATTAACTTGTTTGGCTGTGCTTAAAACAGAGAAATTTTCTTTTAAGTTACTTGTTGGTCAAACATGATTTTCAAATTTATTTCTTTACTAATAATATTTACTTTTCTAGAAAGTAAGTCTTTAATTTACTTTTTAGAAAAGTAATTTTCGAGCACAATCAAAATTTTTTTAAAGACTTACTTTTTAAATTATCTTATTTTGTTAAATAATATTTTCAAACTTATTCTTGCACTAACAAAATTTACTTTTCTAGTCTCAACTTACTTTCTATAAGAGTAAATTTCAAGCACAAACAAACATTCTGTAGGACTTACTTTTCGGAAAAGTATCATTAACAATCACTTAAGCACATCAAAACATGCTCTTATGGCTTTTTATTTTTGCTTGGTTATATATTTGTTTCATCTCCTCTTTCTTGTTCCTGACTCGCCTCGTAAATTTCTTGCAGAGATGTGCATGGGGTATCGACCAGTCGGGATAAGATATTGGCAGTATTGACGATCGTGCTAGCTATTGGGACGAGTTTGGTTGCCATTTTCTCAAATATCTCCGATTACTTTTGCAAAATATGATGAGAAAATATTGATTGTCCTGATCTTTGCACCACCATCACAGTCTTCCAATTTAGTCGAAATGTAGTTGGGGGAAATGAATTATGCTTATTGGAATTGTCAAGAAATCAAATTATGTTGATCTGTTTTGAATACAATTCAAAGTTAATAAAATTGCAGGAAGGTTCTTTATATTGTTGTATTCAGTGGATCATTTATGTATTTTTATATTTGAATTTTAGGCTGGAAGTGATTGGATATTTTCCAAAATCTTGGCATTCAAATTACAGTCCTGCTATACCTACGGTGTGGATGACAGTCAGGTTTACAGTCCTAGCTGGAGAATTCTTTAAAAAAAAATCTTAATAAATGTACATCAAACTTTACATAATAGGTTACATAATGTTATATGTCACTTATACATGTACATCAAACTTTACATAATATGTTACATAATGCTATATGTCACTTTATCATTTGCCAATTTAAAACATATTCAACTTTTTCATCCAATATTTTCCCTCCACATCATTTTATGTAATCATTTATGTACCATTTTTATGTATAAGTAGCATAATCCTAAAAGAAATAAAGGAAAAAAAAGCTTAGCCCCCGTTTGGCCCTCGTTAAATTAAATTTCATTTTCTCTCTCTTATTTTCAATCATACAATCTTCTATAAAATAATATTACATGTAAATCAAAATTTTTTTCTTTTTCAACCATTCATTTAAAAAAATAAATAAAAATAATACAATTCCACCCTTTTAACTAGGAAAAATGGGGGCCAAACGGGGCTGAACCCGTCCCATCTTTTCGGCACAAGCAGAAGCTTGATTGGTCGCCACCTCTGGCCATCGGACAACCATTAAGCTCCTGTTTGATCCCCATTAAATTCAATTACATTAAATTACATTTTTTTCTATCCTATTTTCAACCACACAATCTTCCATAAAATAATATTACACGTAAATCGAAAACTTTTCCTTTTTTTTCAACCACTCATTTTTCTAAAAAATACTATTCCCCCCATTTTCATTTTCAGGTAATGGGGGTCAAACAGGGGCTAATTTACCTCTTCATCCTTAACAGCGAGAGAACACAAAATCGTCTCCACCCAATCGTTTTTAATTTCAGCTAAGCAGGCATCAGAACCACCACCAAACTCGTTGCCATTTTCGATCGCCACCATACCGATAACTGGACTTCTTCCTCCCCTCCTTGATGTTTATATACCACCGTCTAACGTTTTGCGTCGGGTAAGATAAAATAAGGCAGCATAATTTTGATTTCGAATCTAGGGATTGCATATTTCATATATCTGTTAATTTCAAATGTAAATCACAATTTGTCCCTAATTTGTTTTTTGCTTGTATATGGACGTTTTGGTATATGTTGTGGATGAACCATTTGTTGGGTTGTGTAATAGTTTTGTTGTACAGTCGCTGAGGCAAAAGGTAGAAAGTTTCCTTAGAGGCTTCTTTTTTTACCTCCATAGTTTTCATAGTGCATAAGCTAGAGGGAAATCTACAATTCAATTTTGAAGATTTTCTATCCTTAAGTGGGGAAGGGGGATGCTTGCATCTGAAAGTTAATGCAAGGCATATGTTGATTAGAGAAGCCAGATAATTGTGTAATGCAATCCCAACCCTTAGCTTTGTTATTTTGCAACCCTGAATGATTGGTTGCATGCATTTAGTATATATGATTATGAGATATTCCATTGCTACATCATTATTTATTGGAATTGATCGTTCAATTTCAATGTTTTCCCTCGGTTAGGTGATATGGTAGGAAGGAATAGGGGCATTTGCTATTGATGTAGGATGCCTGGGCACTTCTTGTTCGACTGTCCAACTAAGAAACGATTCCCAAACTGTGGTGAGGGCATCGAGAAGTGTATGGAGGTCAAGAAAAATATCAAAAACATTGGGCGATTTGTTCTTCTGCTATTCTAGAGATTATGAGCGTTTCAAGTGGAAAACTAAAGACGAGTCAAGCGACAAATCGCCTTGTGTTTTGAACTGCACGTGCTAGAATAAATTACCTTGTCAAAATCTGTCATGCATGTTCAGCACTTTTGCTCAAATCACAAAGAAAAAAGAATGTGGAGATATACATCAACATCAGAAGGGGCGGATCAATGAATCAACGTTACGGGGGGCAAAAAAAAATTTTAAAAATTTAATGTATGAATAAAATTCAGATATATCAAAAAGTCGTAATATAACATTAGCTATTACAGTTGTATCCTTAGATTTATCACTCTTTGAAAAAAAAGATAACACGGTTCTTCTTTCTTGGTAGAATGTCTAACTTCTTCCATGTTAAAATCCAAAACTAAAAGCATTAAAATCAAAACTCAATATGTCAATATCCCATAAACATAAATTGATAAAATCATAATCATAAATTTGTTCATAATGTAAGAGCTTAGAACTTAAAATCTTCCTTCTTAAATCATAAATTCACACCCCTCTATTGTAAGAAATTATACATTCATCATATACCAAATCATAAATTCTTATCTCTGTATTTTCCTTCCCGACTTAAATTAATTCATATTGTAAGAATCTAAATTTGATATCAGCAGCCTACTCATCATGCATATGTTGCAAATGAATTAAGTTCCAAAATTTCTTGCCTACATTTTTTTTATTTCCAAAAAGAAGTGGTAACCTAGAATTATTTCAACTATATTAGGCAACAATGAGTTTATGCGACAATGTAAAAATTGGAAATTTTCACAAATGACTTTATTCATGAGGGATAGGAAGAACATAATTTAAGATGGAAGATTTAAGGTTAAAAAAATTTGGGAATTTCAATTTTGTATTCAAAAATTTCAAATGACGCTTGAGGTTGAATTTTGAAGAAAGAAGAAAAGAGAGGAATCAAATGAGCCAGTGATGGATTTGGGCTAAAATTAAACAAGGGAATTAATCATATATACCTTATTAATATATAATAATTCATTTTATACTATTAAGTTCAAATAATAACCCAAAATACTTCAAACCCCCAAATAAATCCAAAAGTACTACATGTTAAACTTTCCATTTTGTTTACGTGACAGAAATTTTCCAATGACACATAAAACGTGTGGCATTAAATTCAACAGCAAAACATATGGAATTCAATTTCAAAATTAATTAGTTGCTACAATAATATTGAAAGAGGAATTGAGACTATCCATTATTGGCAATCGTGTCAAAATGATTACGTTGAGGTAATCCTAGTGCTTGGCATTCGATAAGAGTTTGTGGCTTAGATAATTTTTTCCGCAAAATAACTACAAGTAGTATGTTCATATCAAAATTTCTAACCAATATTATTGTAACATTGGATATTCCATATTATCTATGTTGTAGCGGAAATCTCTCGATAAATCTTGATTCCGGACTCAGAAAACAATCAAACGAACACCGGTTTACCTTGGCTCGACCCGAGACTTTCACCTTCACTTTGGACTACTCTCTTTCTCTCTAACCCCACAAAGGAGAAGGTTTGTGGTGTTAGCAATCCACAAAGGTATGGAGAGGAAGAAGAACAGTAGTTGAATCTTACTCACAACCTCACATGGCTTCCCTCTCTCTCGGTTGCCTCTCTTATCTTAACTCTCCTCTCCATTGCTACAACACACACACCACCAAAATGGATGGGAGATAAATACATATATGTAGGTTAGTTTAGGTCACTCTAATTGGGTCTAGGGTTCACTAAGTGGGCTACCAATTAACCTAAACTAATGGGCTAATATTCAACTCCATATTAATCACTAAATGGTCCAACTAACCAAATAATCATCTAACCCAAACCCGAACCATCCAAAAGTGTAGTTCATCTCCGAGTCGAGCCAAGTTCATGGTGTCGATAAATAATCTGACAACTATTTTAAATCATCGTCCGGATTATTGGGTATCAAAAAACCCAACATATGTTTTTGAATTTCATTTCTTTCTGCCATTTTTTGAAATGAATGTGATTCTTGACTAGTAACAATGGAATGGTAATGGGTTGTTTACTACATTGCTGTAATTTAATGTATACACACTTAGAGCGCAGATTGAACTCTATATGATATGTTTGCATATCACAGTCTCTATAATTTAACATCCACATAACTTCATTTTGCGAGAACTCGAATTCTTGCGCTCTTTTGACCTTCCGAGCAATATCTTGCACAACATTATTGTTCACTAATAATTATTGCATGAAATTAATATTCACCTCTAGTTATGAAGAAGATGATTTGGAAGATATCGAATATGTAGAGGACAAAGGACCTTCATTTGTGACGCTTGAAGGGGGATTGTGAAACTAGAAACAATTTTTAGCTAGCTTTTTGACCATCAGAAGGATGGTGTACGGTGTTTATGGGAACTACCTTGTCATAGAGCAAGCAGAATAATTGGAGTTGAGATGGGTCTTGGTATAATCATCCATGTTTTAGCTTTCCTTGGATCATAGCATTTTGATAATATGTAGAAACCAAGCATTGTTATTTGTCCTATTATCCTCTTGCAGCAGTGGAAGAGAGAAGCTATGAATGCCCCCACGGGCATGGCACACTGATAAAGCAGGAGGGCTTTATACCGAGCATCGATCGAAGGTTCGAATCTCCGCGGCAACTGGTAGACAACATTTATGTTGGAAAGCAGTTGTCCTGTGGAGGTAAAGTTATGGTGCGCTTTGTCGTCCCTCCAAAGGTCTTGTCTGCACGTCATAAAAGGAGGTTTACAGGAAGGAGAACTGCATCCTGAATGTCCGGCCCAAGTTTGTAAAAGCATTGACCGTATTCAAATTTACCTGGGTGGTGAACCAGGGGGGAAGGCTGCCACTTCTCAGGATTAGTCAAGCAAAGCTTCGACACTTAAGTTATCAAAAGAAAAAAAAATAGAGAAGCTATGAAATGGTACCCAAGATTTATCTGAAGATAATACATGACTCTGCTAAGTAAATGACTGGTAGGAAAAAAAAAAGAAGAAGAAGAAGAAGATCAAAATCAAATGAAAGTGATGAATTATTTGACATTGATAGTGTTGGAAAATTATCTTCTAAAAGTACCCTTGGTTATTGCAAAGAAGTCTAGAGAATTGGCTTATTTATTTATATAATTTACACAAAAATCTACTCATTTCAATACATTGTTTAGCTAACTCAATTGCATAATTCTAGACGGCGAATGGGGATA